GAATTTTGAACATTAGAATGGCAGAATACAAGAGTGGGATCAGATATTTAAAATATGTGCATCATAGGCACAACTGAGGTTGCTTCCAGACAACCTGTTTATTGAGCAGTCATCCTGATGGTTTGTGACAAGTTTGCAGGAAGGTTAGGTGATGTTGACTATTCACGGTCCTTCTGACCATCTCAGCTTCTCTAACTAGGACACATACCTATCAAAGTTGCCCTTGGGTGTGTGTGGAGATTATGATCTGGCCCATTTGGACAAAAAGGTTCCCCACCCATGGTCTAAATACACAGGGAGGAATTTAACACAGCACTAAGGAGATCACTCCACCAGCACAAGCACTTTCACTCACCTGATGGGAAAATCTCCGCCCTCCTCCTCATGCACACTCCTTTGGGGGTTCTTCTGAACTATTCCCCCTTGAGCCAATTGGGAGGCACAGAGAGTATCCATGGGAGGATAGGGGAGGGGAAGAAAAACCAAGTTGCACTAATGGAAATCCTTGCATGGGTTTGTGCTAGTGAGAGCCATTAGTTGACTCTGGCCCACAGGTCTGTTGCCATCACAGGTACCATATTGGCTCAAATAAAAGCCGCACTTTTCTCCCAAATTCTGACCGTGAAAAGTTAGTGCGGCTTAAATTTGCGACCTTACAAAAATGGGCTTTTATGATATTGCTGCTCAAACAGACATACGGTAAAACGGAGCGGGTGTGAGTGCCTGCAGAATTTTAAGGGAGCGGCTTATATTTGGGTATTGTCTTTTCTCTCTCTCTCTCTCTCTCTCTCTCCCCACCCCCCTTGAATTTTAAAGGTGAGGCTTATATTCGGGCGCGGCTTATATTTGGGCAATATGGTAGTTTGAACCCAGGTCAGAGAATCATGTCTCTCGTATGACATTAACTGCCACTGTGTGTTCACACAAAATACATTAGTGGGAATCTAATGTTTACTTTGGACCACAGCTGTTGAGAATTTTAGCAGTTAACTTCCACACAGAACACCCCTATTAATATAATGCTACACAACCAGTTCTCACACTAAATAGAGGGACATCTTTTTCTTCCAAACACTCAATATGGTTTTGGTAAGTTCTGAAGAACCATCAAGTGTTGTTTCCAAACATCTCATGTATGTATATTGGCTGTAATGAAAAGACAATGAAACAAGAGTTAGAAAGTTATGCAAACTAATAACCTTAGGCTCTATCAACATGGTTTAGAGTTATTCATTAATGATATGTTTATATGACAGAAACAAACTGTGCTTTAGGTATATTCATCACTTTTTTTGTACTTCTAATCGATGTATGCATTGTCTTGAGAAACTGCTGGAAATTAATAAAAGAAAAGAAGCTCCCTGAGGGAAGAACAGATTGTTGGTGAAAAGAGCTGAGGGAATTGCAATTGTAAAATAAGCCTCTCTTTTATCTTTTTTATACTTTTCTTCTTATATACACACAGAGAGAGTATATGGTCAGAAGTACACTATCTGTTGGGGGAGGACTGCCCGAACCTCCACTGTAAATCTATTCAATTTCCACAGTAGCAGTCCCCAAATATTGACTTTATTCCCCCAAATCTTCATTTTGGATCTCTCACTTAGAAGAAAGCAGCCAATGAAGAAGTGGTTCGAAAACACACCTCAGCAATTCCATCGCTTAACTGAGTCTTTAAACTGGGCCTTGAGAGTGGTGGGGATGGGGAGGTGGGCTGGGGAGGAAAACATTAATCCCTGCACTTGGTAAATAAACCTGCCTCCTTTGGCCATTATGTGCACTGAACAAAGCCAATGATAACACAAGCCTCAGTATGTACAATGACCAAGCAGGACCACAAGCGAGACTTGACAGCCCCCTTGCTTTTTGTGTTTGCCGAGAGACGTTTTGTGGGTGAGATAAAGGGTTCTCCTCTGCAGACGTATTTGTGGTACTGCTTAGTGTCATGAACTTGGCCAAATTTTACGATGGAAATACCGCCACGGTGACCTTGCCTGGGGGCCCCTATGCACTTACAGGTCTCCTCATAAAAGACTTCTGGTGTTGACTCTGGAGTTAGACGCTAGAATGTGCACACTAAACCCAGTCAATTTTCTACTTATCACCGGAATAGAAACTTGAAAAGTAAAGTAGGGTCTGGTTTTATTCCTCTAACCTACCTCAGGCAATGGGAGAAGACGACTAGCACTCCTTGGAATATAGTAATCATTAGAATTACAGCACACCTTAATAGCATAACACTGCTTGGCACATTTCATCTCTTTATCCTACGCATGATCCTCTCTCATTCTCTCTCTCTCCTCCCAAATTTGTCATTTGCTTTTCATTTCCTGTCTCAATTCTCTCTTTTTTTTAAGACAAACCTCCGGTTGCCTTAAGGCGAAAACATGCACATGCAGGGACTGAACAATGAAAAGGCAAGGAACTCTCAAATTATATATATACTAGCTTCTTTCTTTCTTTCTTTCTTTCTTTCTTTCTTTCTTTCTTTCCTTTGACAGGTACAGACAGTAGCTTACATACAAATGATCCAAAAGCAAATCTTGCCAGACCAAAAGACTTGCGGTCTTTTCATACATGAAACCATATCCGAGGTGATTCATGTTTGCAGTTTGAATGTAAAGCTCACATGGTCCAGAGCGCACATTCCATTTTTTAAAAAATTCACTTCCGCTGTTTGTCCCATATTGGTGATCAAACTGCAAATTGCCAATCAAATTGCCATTAGGTTATTGTCATTCCAACTGGCCTTTTAAGAGAAGAGAGCATTTAGAGCTTGTGGCTGGTTCGCAAGGGAAGCTGCCATGCCAAATTAAGCAAGTAGATAAAAAGATGCCCAACTGAATATATTCAGTGTAACAAATATGAAAAGAAGCAAAAGCTTTGTACAGGACAACTGATCAGTATTAGTGTCATTGCACTGCAGCATTTTGTATTCAAATTCCCTGAGATTCAGTGGTTACAATTTTGATGTGGCCGCGGATTTATTTTTAACCCAAGTATTGGTAACGTTGCCATGGTGCCTGGTTCCTTTCAACCACAGTGACACAGAGTAGCCAAGGAATCTGCTTTCACATGTTATTAATGGCCCACCCAACAAATATGGCTTTTATTTTTGCCATGTGAGCAGCTAATTAACACTGTGGGCCTGACATCATACTAGAAGCTGCCAGACCCAGATGAGGAGTAAGGATGGGGGACACTTTAGGGAGCACGCATTGGGACTGGCCCACAAGAGTGCCACAGATGATCTCAGCTATCATAAAAGAGCAAGGAGAGTATGGTGGCATGAGGCTGCTTGGAGTTTTCCAGTATTTTAATCTGGTGTCTGAACTGCATTCAAGTCATAATTCTCAAAAAGCATTGCCCGTCTCCCTCTAAAGGTTTGCTGGAATGAGTGGGAGCTCCTATCTGAGAGCCCCTCCTACAGCCTAGATGTTATTTCCTTACAGTTGTGTCCAGCATATTCTCCAATGTGCTCAGAGCAGACCCTCCAAGTGTCCCTATTTTCCAGGGACAATCCTGGATTTACAGACATCATCCCGGTTTCTGATTTGATCTCAGAATGTTCTGCTTTTCCTTAGGATGTCCCTATTTTCATCGGAGAAATGTTGGAGGGTATGGGGTTATGTGACCCCAGAACCAAGGGGATAAGTAACTATACAACCTTTAGAAAACACATGAAGGCAGCCCTGTATAGGAACTCTTTTATGCTTTATTGTGTTTTTATATATGTTGGAAGCTGCCATCATCCCTAGCTAGCAGGACCAGTGGTCAGGGGATGGGAATTGTAGTCCAAAAACAGCTGGAGACCCAAGTTTTGGGAAACCCTGGACTAGATGGTCCTTGTGTCCCTCCCAGTGCTACAATTCTATCTATAGATGTGACATGAAAATGTTAGAGTTATTGAGCACCTAGCAGGTCATAAAAGATGGCTGGAGGTTTGCCATTTGTTTCTTAGTCCACAAGTTGTGCATGCCTGATCCACTTGGCATGAAAGTATCATTCTGTACCTCTGGGGTGAAATTGGAGACTGGTTATATGGTACTTTGCTTTATACAATAGCAGAATATTTTTTGGGAGTGCCTTTGCTGTGCCCCTTTGGCCCAGCTTGCTTGACATAGCGAAGCTCCCAGGGCCTAGTGAATGAGTCCCTCTGTGTCTTTCTCCAAACAACAATTTGCGCCTCATTTTATTGCAGTTGTAAGGTAGAAGAAATCTGAGCTACATTGCTGCTAAGGTATTCTGTTGGGAGTTTAATCTGAAGACGGGTAAACTAAGATTTGTCCCACAAAGCCCCTTTATTTATGTATTTATTTAAAGGGGGGACACTCACCGACAGCATATTTCTCCATGTTTCCTTTTCCCTTTTTCGTTTTCTCCTCTCACTTCTAATCATTTAGCACACAAGTCCTTATAATAACAAGGGTTTAGGATCCTTACTGTTGTCTAAGAAGGAATTAGGAACTGGCCTCGCTTTAAAGCTTCCAGTGCTCTGCTTAAATCCCTTCCTTGAGATCCTTTGAACTATTTCATAAGTCAAGATTGAACATGTCATGTACTTTCCCCGGGTGTTAGAGGGCCTAATTGCAAAGACAGAAACAGTACCAAGAGCATTTTACTGCCTTCTCTCCCTTCATTTCACAAACGTCTTCCTCTTGCCCAGTTGGCAGGTGTCCACTGCATATTACACCTGAGTTTCAAAAGAAGTTGGACCACATTGCAATGCAGGGTTGCAGGTGCCACTGTTCCAGAAGCACAACATCTCTTTGGCATGGCTTTTTCCACCTTCCACCCCCTCTTCTTTTGGGGAGAGGGGTGCAATCTTTGCCTGCATTAAGCTATCTACGGCTTCTCACCTGTGACTTACAACATGGGAATAAGTCCCACATACTTGTTTCTGGGTGAACATGCATAGATATGGGATGAGGGAACAAATCAATCCAGTTCACATTTAAAGTGGAACCTACCAAATCTGCACTTTCTGGAGCAATACATGAGCCGATAGTTGAGGTGGTAGGGCATGAGACTCTTAATCTCAGGCTCGTGAGTTTGAGCCCCACATTGGGTGAAAGATTGCTGCATTGCAGGGGATTGGACTAGATGACCCTCATGGTCCCCCTTCCAACTCTACAAGTCTGTGATTCTGGGGAAACCTGCCATCCTTCAGATTTCACACTTATCTGAATTTTGCACTTTAGTTCTCCAGTCATGTGGGGGGGGGGAATTCATATACTGCGGTTAAGTGTGCATAAAAATGCAAACATTAGGGGAATTTGCTGTGCAAAATAATGTGTACAGTGGTACCTCAGGTTACATACACTTCAGGTTACATACGCTTCAGATTACAGACTCTGCTAACCCAGAAATAGTGCTTCAGGTTAAGAACTTTGCTTCAGGATGAGAACAGAAATCGAGCTCTGGCAGCGCAGCAGCAGCAACAGGAGGACCCGTTAGCTAAAGTGGTGCTTCAGGTTAAGAACAGTTTCAGGTTAAGAACGGACCTCCAGAACGAATTAAGTACGTAACCAGAGGTACCACTGTATATTGGTAAAGGTAAGGTAAGGTATTACCAGGAATTGAGTGCTTGTTGGGTATATCTGGAGAAATTTGCACTGAAATGCTGGTGGATTTTTGTGATGTGGAAGTGTGAGGAACTGAACTTAAGAGGAGAAGGTATGGCCTGGGCAAAGAGGGCCATAGGTCCCCCATTCCTGTTTCAGAGGGATCCTGTTGCCACCATCTTTGGAAACAATCCTGGATTAGATAAGACTTTTGTCTGATTCAGCACGGTTATCCTTATATATTTACCCCTCCAGCTGCTGTTGGACTCCTATTATCCCCAACCAGCATGGCCAATGATCAGGGATCATGGGAACAGTTAAGTATGAAGACTAAGGGAAAACATCAACTACCATCACCACTATAAAAACACTGCCAGCACTTTCCCAGGAAGCACCTCACCAATGAAAGTTTATATATTTTCACACACACACACACCTTATCTGAAAAACCCACCCAGCTAAATGCCATCACTTCCACAGTCTGGGAATGAGGCCATCAAAGTTGGAGGCATTTTTGACTCAGCACTACAGTGGTACCCCTAGTTACAAACTTAATTCGTTCCGGAGGTCCGTTCTTAAAACTGAAACTGTTCTTAACTAGAGGCGTGCTTTCGCTAATGGGGCCTCTTGCTGCCGCTGCACCGCCAGCACGCGATTTCCATTCTCATCCTGGGGCAAAGTTCTCAACTCGAGGTAACTCTTCCAGGTTAGCGGAGTTTGTAACCTGAAGCGTTTGTAACCTGAAGTACCACTGTAATTGAAGTTGTCACCTTATGGGCAAGTCACTCAGGGCGGCCTACTCAAGCCTATGTGTCTTATCCACATGTAACAACCCAACCAGGTAAGCTGGGCTGATGGAAGGTGACTTTCCTGAGAAGCCAATCCGTTTGGATTTGAGTCTGGGTTTCCTACTTCCCAACCCCAAAGTCAAGCCACGGCACACCCTTGACAAAAATGCTTCTGGATTAGGGTCACCTCACAATTGAAAACTCTCGCCTGCCACAGTATAAACGGAATAGCTGAGTTGTGGGGTCTGTTCATTCTCCCCTCTGTAAATTACTGCTCACATCACTATTGCACATGTGATAGTGAAGTGTTTGTTTTGCTTACTTGCTCAAAGAGCAGGTGAGGTGCTATTTGAAGTTCATACCACAAATATATTCCATGCTTATCTTTAGTCAACATTTAGTAATGCGTTTTCAGCGGCAGTGAAACTCCCATTATCAACAGGAATTGTGTACCTAAATCTCTTTCTCCCCGCCCCCCCCGAACCCGGCTAATGTCATTAACTCCCAAGCTGATAAAGTGTTTTCAATTACAACCCCCTTGTCACAAGGAAAGACACATACATATGAAAAATGTGTGTTTTGATTGTGACACAGAGAATCCGAACATAACATTGCATTACACGGCTCATAATAAAACTGAGGATGAAGGATGTGAATACTAGAATGAGGACAATGTAAAAGACTAGTGTTCATTATTGCAGCATCTGCTGGTGCGGCTATAAATAAAGGCCTCTCTCCATTTCCCTATTATGAACCGCTAATTTCATGAATTTATAACATGAGTGAGAAAACTCATTCATGGCCGAGGCCCGGAATATGTTGTCTAAACTGTGGAACAAGGGGGAGGGGGAGGCAGCTGCACTGAAAGCTGGAAGCAAGCCAGAAGCCAACAAGACATTGCCGTTAGTTAATATATAATAATAATAATCCCAAGGCAATTTGTCGGTCTTCACTGGGGAAATTTGTTCTACAGGTTTGTGCAACAGTAAAACTTTACTGCATATCCAGCAGTAAACACATTGCCAGTTGACAGAACGTAATCTGTGCTAGGCAGTATCTAATGTTAGTCATACACAGAAGGCAGTATGCAACTAAGTTTTACTCAGAGTAGGCGCATTTGAATTAATGGATCAGATTTAGTCAAGTTCAGGGATTTCAATGGGTCTACTCTCCGCTGCCTTGTGAGATATCTCTGGCGAAAGAAAAGGTAAGATGGTTGGACGACATCTTGTACTTTTTCTGGCAACTCCTGCAGCCAAGCTGGTGCCAGATGTATTGCTCTGCTTTTCTTTGGACCACATTAGTCTTGTTGCCTGAGCAGCCCAGGCTTGTGTCCCCAGGAGGTCACTTTGGTGCTGCTAACGTGACAGTTTGATTTCACCCCTGTAGGCACACTCCATTGCCCCTTGAGACAGATGGACTTTGAGCAAACGATAACTGAGTACCACCCAGAGTCAGAAGGCAGCTTAAAATGTGCTGATAAGTTTATTAAGCCAGGGAGGAGAAGTATGTACACCTGAGGGCCACAAAACAGCGGTGAGTGGGGCCAAAGACAAATGTGAACAGACCAACAAATGTGGATGTTGCATTTGTGCAGTAGGCTAATTTGCACACTCCCTCACACACCTTGCCCTCGGTCTAGATGGGCAAGAGGCTTTATCAGAGTTTGAGGCAGAGCCGTAGCTAGTGAGGGGGGGGGGTCTAGCCAGGGTTTCTGCCCCGGGTGAAGCCTCCAGAGGGTGCCAGGGAGGCTCCCAGCATATCTGGGCTTCAGCCAGAGAGAAAGATGAAAAAGTGAATGGCAGCCATGAGCTCCGTCCTTCCCCTTTCCCAATGAAGCTGAAGAAGAATCATTTACAACGCGATGCAGGGAGAGTTGGAAAATCTGGAGAGGCTGTGTGGCTCCCCCCAGTGAGGCAGAAGATTGGGTCCCTTGTGGGTTTGCTACTGTGTGAGAAAGAAATTCTGGAGGGACAGAGGGAGTGGCGGAAAGCTGAAGAAGAGAATCAGTTGATCCTTGGGGTCCCTTCCAACCCTACAATTCTATGATCCCTTCAGAACTTTGAATGTGCTTAAATAGCCACGGTTGAGACATTTTACAGACTATGCATGATCTACACATAAGAAAGTAAGGGGTGTGTGAGCATTTATCCTGCCAGAAGCAGTTCCCTGGCAAGCTCCAGTCAGCCCAGCTGCATTAGGATTATAATGGGAAGGCTACTTTAGACTTGCAAAAAGCATTTCTTCACCTTACATGGAACCTAAAATGACTACAAGGCTTCCCGACTGGAAGATCGGCGGTTCAAATCCCCGCGACAGGGTAAGCTCCCGTTGTTCGATCACAGCTTCTGCCTACCTAGCAGTTTGAAAGCACACAGTGCAAGTAGATAAATAGGCACCACTCCAGTGGGAAGGTAAACGGCATTTCCATGCACTGCTCTGGCTTTGCTAGAAGCGGCTTAGTCATGCTGGCCACATGACCCGGTAAAACTGTCTGAGGAAGCGGACAAATGCCGGCTCCCTCAGCCTTTAAAGTGAGATGAGTGTCACAACCCCAGAGTCGTTCGCGACTGGACTTAATTGTCAGTGTCCCTTTACCTTTACCTTTAAAATGAGTAATCAAACAAAAGTAAAATGGAAAGGAATCTTGCTGAAGCTATGGAATGTTTCCATCCAGCCATGTTGCTATCATACCGCCCAACATTTCTCCGGTGAAAATAGGGACGTCTTAAATAATAATAATAATAATAATAATAATAATAATAATACCCTACCCATCTGAATGAGTTGTCCTAGTCACTCTGTTAGGCTTCCAACATATATTAAAACATAAGAAAACTATGCAGGGCTGCCTTCAGGTGTCTTCTAAAGGCTGTATAGTTACTTATCTCCTTGGCTCAGGGATTGCATAACTTCATACCCTCCAATGGAAATAGGGACAACCTAAGGAAAAGCGGTACATTCCAGGATCAAATCAGAAACTGGGAAACCTGGTAAATAGGGATACTTTGAAGGTCTGTGCTATGCAGCACCACTAAAACTAAGTTAACACCCCTTTAAACCCTCCAGGTATTGGTGGATTACATCTCCTACCATTATCATGACCAATGGCCATGCTGCTGGGGCTGATGGGAGTTGAAGTCCAACGACATCTGGAGGGGTACAGGCTGCTTTCCAATGCTATACATGTCAGGGTGCCGCATCAAGCAGCTACCACGTGGAGGCTGTTTCCCACATGGCTGCCATAACATGTTGCTAGATGTATGAATTATACATGTGCCAGATTCCTGGCTTGATTTAGGGGCAAGGATATATCAAAGGTCCATCCTTAATATCAACATGCAAATCTTTGCCATGTATATAAGTCCAGAGCAGTGTGCAACAGCCATATATTTAACCAGAAGATGAAGACAATGTTTCTGTCTTATAAATTACTGTAGAAGCTTTAAATCCCTAGAAAGGGGAAGAAGAAGAAGAAGAAGAAGAAGAAGAAGAAGAAGAAGAAGAAGAAGAAGGCGGCCATTTAAAGAGAAAATGCTTGCTGTCAACTTAACTTCAGCCAAGACAGCGCAGATGCAGTGCCATAATACGGATGGTTGCAGATCCATTTGATTTACAGCATGATGCAGCAATAAAACCAGTTGTAAATTTTGATGGTAACTAAAGGATAACTACAACTCTCACACACTCACACCATAATTAGCATGAGCAGTGATTCT